CCCCCCCTTCCCTGTCCCATCGCTGCCCCAGCGTTCCCATCCCACCCCGTGGAACCTCGGCCCCCCTCCTGCCCCATCCCTGCCCCACAGCCCTGCCATCCTGCTCCCACCCCCAGGCTCCACTGGCACCGTCCTGCCCCACTCCTGTCCCATCCCACCCCACAGCACCTCCATCCCCATCCCTGCCCCACAGCCCCCTCCTGCCCGGGCGCTGGGTGCCGGCTGCTGCTCACCTGGGCAGGATTCTGGGGGCACGGGTCTGTGGGTGCCGCCTCGGGGGCTGCTTATATCCCCCAGGCCAGCTCCCGCCCCTGGGCCAGGGGGGCCGTGCCGGCCCCTGCCACAGCCTGGGTAAACACGGCGGGGGTAAGGGTCACTGCGGGGGATGGCCCCTCCTCGTCCTCGCCACGGGTGGCCCCACACCCCAGGTCCTGTCCCTGTGTCCCCAACGCCCCGTGGCCCTGGGCAGGACATGGACGGTGGGTGACAATGGCCCAGGACTGGGGCTGTGGGGAGCTCTGGGGGCTGGGGCTGCCACAGTGGGGGCTTGGCTGGTGGCTCTGTGGCATGTGGTGGCTCTGTGGCATGCGGTGGCTCTGTGGCATGCGGTGGCCCTGTGGCACGTTGGTACCCCAGGACACACGGTTACCCTGTGGCATGTTCGAGCCCCATGGCAAGTGGTGGCCCTGCGACAAGGGTGGCCCCATGGCGTGTTGCAGCTGCGTGGCACGCTGTTACCCCACAGCATAGCGAGACCCCCAGAGACCCCTACACCCCAGGGCCCCCCCTCCCCTCACTCCAGCACCCACCAGCCCCTCTGCCCCAGCCCTGCGGGTCCCGGTGGCTGCCCCACCCCCGGTCCCAGCTTGGCGGGGGGGGCCTGGGGGGCTGCCCACCCCGGCCTGCCCTGGCCGCCACCGGCACCCACAGGGCAAAGGTCATCGCCCGCCTTATCGCTGACCCTCGGCCGCCAACATGACGGCGTGACTCAGCGCGGGGCAGGCAGGGGCCGTCCCCGCAGGGTCCCGGAGGGGGCACCCGTGGGGGGGAACCCTGGGGACACCCCGCCGCGGGGCCAGGGGCCAGCCCTGGCACTGTTTGGGGACACGCGGCCAAAGGGCACCTGGGCGGCACCGGGGACAAAACCTCTCTGTCCCCTGGGTTGCCAGTGGGGCCACTGGGGCCCCTTCCCCTCCGAGCCCTTTCCAGGAAAGCTGCTGCTGATGGCAGCAGGGGCAGGGGACGCGGGGGAGACATGGGGAAGGTCCAGGGACGAGGGGCAGGGGGCAAGGAGGGGGCATGGGGAGGGGAC